ACTCTATTTCAATCTGACCCAGAGTGTGCAGTTTATAGGTTTTGATCTGATCTCAGTTCAGCTGGATGTCTGTTGGATCAGTCGCAGCTCTGCACAGATATCGAACATACCTGAGGGTTTAATACTCTGTTCTCATTAGCAGGGGTGTAATTCAGTAGTTTCATCATGATACAATATTATATTGATTCTTTGGACAACAATACAATATTTGCCGATATCACAAAGTCTGCCACGATATGATTTTGACTCGATGCAGTTTAGGGTTCTGCGATTAATATGAGACGATATCATCTGCCCATTTACCGAAGTCTTTTACAGAGGAAGCTGCCACCCCTTTCTTTTTTGTTTTTGGTCATAAAAGATAAAAAAACCCCAAATAAATATTGTAAATATTTGTAACCCGTTGAGTGCAGTATCATTCTCTTCAATTTGATTCCACTAACACATATAGCATAGCGCATGCTTTCTGCCAAAGAGACTTTCTGGGAGAAATGTTTTCATTTTAACCCAAACCATCATCTGTTTCCTAAAACTTCAGGGTTATCTGGCTTAAAGCCCTGAAGGCTAACTTCCATAAAACATGGATTAGCTTCAGCACGTTTACATTGCATAAATTAGCTTAGCGGCTAGCAGAGGTTTCCTCTACTCACATCTTAACATATGACATTTACTATTTACACTTTCTCTCACTAACCACTGGTTAAAGCCACTGAATCTTTCGACAGAACAGCTCGGTTGAATTTCAGCTGTAATGCTTGTTTTTTCAGCCTATCATTACTGAAACAGAGCAGCTAATGTTTCTGTATGGTATTTTATCTCATAACAGCATTGTGCTCTGTCTGTTGACCTGTATTTCCTCTGAAATCCAAAATATTTCCACACTGTTGATTTATTCCATATGTAACATTATCCTCATCGTCTTTTTCTTGGCTGCTTGCCATTATCTTCCTGTGCCTGGCACTGTTCGACAGTGGCACAGAATTTCAAAATAAAGGCATATTGCAAAGGTGATGATATTGATCTGTGTTTTCACTTTTCACAGCTGATACTGGATCGTTGATCGTTGAATCAATATATCGATCAAATATAAACTAAGCACAAAAAGTAAGGAAATTTGTGTTTGGTAGATTATTTCTTTGTTGTAACAATGCTTCTTGGCAATAGGCTATATCTTGTACAGTTGGAAAGCCTGTTTATTTCCCTTTAAAATTGTGCCACATTTATAAGGAACATGCATTTGTGGGATGAGCAGCAGAGCTGAGTATGTGGGTTGCGCCCACGAAAAATTTGCTAAATCTTCTCTGCCAATGCCAAACAGCTTTTTGTTGCTGTTGCTATTGACTCTTGATTTGATTTTCTGGTACCCCCAGGTGCTGATAGACGGGCTTTCCAAGGGTATAAGATTTATTGCCAAGAAGCATTGTTACAACAAAGAAATAATCTACCAAACACAGATTTCCTTACTTTTTTGTGCTAAGTTTAGATGGATCATTACACCTCTACTTTTGAAGTCATTGAGCCCATTATTAGACTACATTAAAAGGAGCACAAATTCAATCATACAAATTTAGGAAACAACCTTTTAAAAACCTTTTTCATGGACAAAAAAGCTTCAGACTTATGTATATCATAATTACCTCTCTAATATCTGCATAATATTGCTGTGAAGACATCAACACATTTCTCCTTCAAGCAGCTGTATTTATTCAAGTTTCTCTCAAAAAAACCCTACATTTTTCAAGATTACATTGAACACATCATGATAACACTACACTTTACCATAGCCTACTACTCATTTTTACCATTGAGAGCTTGAACGCATCATCATGTAACTCAATGCAGCCTCCCTGAGCTGTTAAATGGGGCCACTGGCTGCTCAGAGCTGACGTTAACTAGCTCTCCTCCTGCTGATTTTTAACACAGATTTGTTGTTCACAATGCAGCATTATCAGGGAAAATTAGGGTGTGTCCCCTGACGATAGTGAGTTTACTGCATCCTTTTGTCCTGAAGGCGTCCAGGGGAAGATCTCTGTTGGTCCCGAACATGTTTTCCATTCTTATCAGTGTTTCCCTTCTTGCAGATAACCAAGAAGTGAATCGGACAACTGATTTTTATCTTATTCATTTATTAGTAAGATTATCTAACCAATTTTCATGTGTACATTGTAGCTATAATTCTGAGAAACAGCCCTCAACCCTCAATTGTAAAGCTGTTAATTGATCAGCAAGTCAACAGAAATGGCAGCCTTTTTTAATTTAATGTTAAATAGAGTTTGAGTCATTTTTAAGCACAGCGTGCCAAACACTCGCAGATTTTTAACTTCCCAAATGTGAATATTTTTGCTGGTTGTCTTCAGCAAACTGAACCTCTTTGTGTTTTTGGACTGTTGGTTGGACAAAATGAGCTATTTGAGTGTGTCAGCTTGTGCTTTGGTGAAATTGTGATGGACATTTGTTAGTTGCAGCCGTGGTGAAATTCACAGTGATGGATCAGACCAGCTTGTCCATCTCTCCTACTCAACTCCTGTCAACATTTGGTACCAAACAGCATTTTGAATCTCTTTGTTTGCCGTTTGTCAGCATTCAAAAGTCAGCTCATCAACACACGTGTGAAACGTTCTTATGTATCGCATGTTAAATGCTTTATCTAAATTCACATTTGAATTTTGATTTATATTTTTACATGTGAACTGTCTGATAACCACATGTAGCTCTGTCATGTTTCCTGTGTAGATCTTCACACATCACACGAAACAACTGAAATGTTTCAGCATTTACTTGCTTGTTTCAGCTTATCAGCATTATCTTTAAATGCTTCAAGTGTAACCTATCTTAATTCATACATTTATTGCCACAAGATTTGGTCTGTAAAACTTTTTAGCTCTTATCACTGCTGTGGACGATGACACAGTCACGAAGTCTGATGCTTTAGCTAAGAAACGATTAATCTCTCTGACCAAAGATTTAAATTGTGAGCTTCAAGAATGCTGAATTTCAGTTCACTTTGCATACTGTTTGGCAGCTTAACCTTTAACAATATATTATAATTTATTAGTTGTTTTATATTTAAGCAACATCACATGAGAGGGAGTTTTGTTGCTGAATATAACAGCAGAAGATGCCGAAGATAATTGCAGTTGTGCTGATATTCAGTACAACAGTACAACCTCGGTTTTGATATTGCTTTTATACAACAGTTCTACGATTTGTCTCATTATTTAATGATTTATTTAGCATTGCCAACATGAATAGATCTGTAACTGGAAGTGAAGTGTCCAGGTGTCTTTACTTCCCTTCGTCTTCTTCTGATGACTGTTCAAAATTAAACTCGAATGTTATCTGATTAAATATGTTCCTCTTTGCGGTGCAACAACGACCCTTTATGTAGGCTAATTAACTGTTAATGTAATTAATAGTTCAGAAAAAGTGTTCTAATTAAATTAACAGTTAATTAAACTACATCTGGGGTCAAACTTTTAACGCAAAGATGAACGCACCAGGTACTTCCTCAAATAAAATTCAAGTTTGATTATGAATGGTGATCAGAAGAGGACGAAGGGAATGAAAGACACCTGGATACTTCACTGCAAACCTCCAGGTGTGCTCATATGACATCAGCTGCAGCCTCGTGCAAATCAAAGCCGAGATGATGGTCCGTACAACAGCGCTCCCTCTTGTGGGATATGGCTTCATTTTGCATTAATCTTCAGAATCTGTAAAGAAACTAGTCAAATCAAATGAATATTGTGGAGTCAAAAGTTCAGTATTTGCCTCTAAAATGTGGAAGTATAAGTGCAAAGTTGGATAAAATGGAAATACCCAAGTGCAAGTAGCTTAAAAATGTACTTCAGTACGGTACTTGAGTAAAAATACTTACACCACACCAGCCATCTTTCCTCAGAGGGTTTTTAATGTATTTCCCTACTTTGGAGCAGAGCTGCTTCTTGACTGTAGCCTGATAAACGATTTCAAATTTATCAAAACTAAACTTTGTCCCACGCCTTCTTGGGCAAATTTACACTTCCTCAAAAACCTGGACTGTACTTTTGTGTGTTTCTGTTTCTGTCTTTATCATCAGCGAGTGGACACCCATCCAAGAATAGTTCACCCAAAAACAATATAAATAGTATACAAGTATTCACCTCCCCAGGCTCTTTATGGTTCCAGAAAACGTTTTCTATCGAATGGCATCAAGGAGTGCGGAGCGGAAAAATGAAAGTCTATCAATGGAAACAGACTTTGACAGAGGCTGTAACAAAAGATGGTAAAAGAGGCATGCGCACAACAAATTGCGTCATGGGGGGAGAATCAGAAAATACTTTGTTTAGCAATAGTTTAGAGAAAATAGTTCAGACACTTGGATAATGCTGCATTTTTTTTGTGTGTGTGTCTTGTGTTCGGACTCCATTAAAGTCTGTTCGCACTTAAATGCTTTAATTTTCTGATAGAAAGTGTTTTCTGTGACCATACAGAGTCAAGGGAGGTGGCCACTACATGAATTTATATTGTTCTTGCTCTTTAATCATAAATCTATTTAGTTTCCTCATAAAATGTATGAAAAGAGAATCAGGATCAGCAACCATGTGCGATATTAAGACAGAGAGTGTGCAGTATTTCATTCAGTCGCCACACTGAATGATTTTAGCACAACTTCAAGCAGAGAGCAGGAACATAGTCACCAGGTGTGTAGAGCCCTCGTGAGACGTTTCCTGCAGCAGCTTTGATGTTATGGGGCGTGATTAGGAGATGTCCCGCCATTCTGTGGATAAATTTAAAATCATCTTAAACTGAAGCAATAAAACTAAATATAGACGTCGACAGCAAGGAGGGAACAAATGGGAGCTGCTGGAATATGAGTAGCCTATTGTGCAGTGACTAATGCCACATAATTGACATATTGATTCATGTCTTTGTTGCCTTTCTGTCGCCTTATTTGGTGTTGCAAGGGAGCCCGAGTTTGACATTTGCCTTTTTTCTCTGTCTCTCTTTCTCTCCACCAGTGTGCTGTTTTGTGGTCCATAAGCGCTGTCATGAATTTGTCACCTTTTCCTGTCCGGGAGCCGACAAGGGACCTGCCTCAGATGTAAGTAAAGAGAATGGGAGTCAACGGTGGAGCCGGTGTTAGGTTAGATATTTATTAAACACATGGTTAGTGATTGTTTTGCTCCCGAGTGATGTTTATTAATAACATTAGCAAGGTCAGCACTGGCTTTGTGTGTGTGTACGTCCGAGTAGTTCCTGTATTTGCAGCTAGATGAACACACACATCCAAACACACAGATGTTACCTCCTGTCCTCCTGCTGAGCTGTCAACCCCAAATCACACCGAGACATGCCAGTGAAAAGAGAATGTGCTGCCTGGCTGCCTCAGGTTAATGGACCACACACACACACACACACACACACACACACACACACACACACACATTTTGTGAGTCAGTGGATTTTGAAGTCATGTAACTGATGTTTATTAATCTCTAACTCCTCTGTCTTTCTTTGTTTTTGTTATATCACCAAAGCTGTTTTTGCTGTTTCCTATTTTTAAGCGTCCTCGAAACTCACTCAATCAGTGCTCCATTCTCTCTCAAAAAAATACTTTCGCTCTCTGTCATAATGGAAGCAACATTTTAAGGATTGGTTCACCACATATACTAAATGGCCTCGGGATTAAATAAGTCTCAGGGTTTTCTTCATGTTTTGGGCCCCTTAGTTACAATAAGGGAAATCGTAGTGAGGCAGAATAAAATGTTTTAGACAATAGTGATAATCCAACTATATGGCAACAATTTGGGGAAAATTCCTTCCTGTTTTACATGACAATGCCCCTGTGTTTAAGACTAGGTCCTAAAAATGTTTTTTTCCCTGCACAGAGCCCTGATCTCAACACCATTCTCGATATGGTTTGGGATAAATTTGAGCCTTGTCAGCCACCGTCAGTGGCCGACCTCACTGATGCACTTCTAACTGAATGGGAGCAAATCCCTGCAGACACAATGTCGCAAAAATCTTTCCCAGATAAGAAGAGGTTATATTATTGTATTATTGTTACAGTATCATACTAATCCACATAGCTTAATAAGATCCATAACCTTTACATATACCTGAATGTCCTGGTGTCCACATACTTTTGGCCACATAGCAAACCTCAACTTGTCAAATTCGTGTGGTTAGATACCACTGTGAGAACCTGTTTTTTTGTGATTTGGGTGATCTGACCTTTTGTTTTGTTTGTGTTTATGTGCTTTTGTTTGTTTGCTTTATTGTTTTGTACTTATGTGTCATCAACCTGTCAGGGACTGCAGATACAAGTTAGTCTCTTTGTCAAAATCTGGCATATTCAGGCTACATGATGGACCCAAGTGCTCATGATAATTACACATAAACACTACCCAACAGGAAAACTAGAAAACTGAACTTGCAGTATGGACTCTTTTAACAGAGTCTGAGCCGACCACAGATACAGGAACCCGACTGAAATGACCTGGATTGCTTTAAATATTGAATTCAAGTGTCTTCTCTCTCCTCTCTGTGTCTGTGCCTCTGCAGGATCCTCGTAGTAAACACAAGTTTAAGGTCCACACTTACTCCAGCCCGACCTTCTGTGACCACTGTGGCTCCCTCCTCTATGGGCTGATACACCAGGGCATGAAATGCGACCGTACGTACACAAATATCTGTGTGTGTGTTTGTGTGTGTGATCAGACAGTTCGTGCATATGGCACAAATGAAAGCGTGTACTTTAGAGGCTACAAATAAAACTTGTCCTCTTACCTGCTTTTCTGACCCAATCACTTGAATAAATGTTGGCATTGTATGTTCCTGCAGACAATGGATACGTTACATTTGCACGTCAATGTGTAACACATATGTTGATATATATGTTTGGACGCTGTGGTTAATCTGTAGTTAGGTTTAGGTGCAGTACCACTTGGTTATGGTTAGGGAAAAGATCACGTTTTGTCTTAAAATACCAGCTTTTGGTGGCACTATCCATGCAGCAAACGCAAGAATGTCTGAATAAAATCAGCTTCCTTTCATGGTAGTATACCCAAGGAAAACACAGTGACGGGTCGATAAAAAGCAACCACATTTGGTGGTTAAAAAGCTGTTGGAAACACAGTCATTCACACATCATTCACCGTCACATCCACCTCCCAGTGACAAAGTCAGCTCATATTTTTAGTCACTTTTGAAAGGTTGATATGATACCTATGAAATGGAAAAAATGTAACGTACTGATGTTTTTTTGCAGAAATATACCATGCCAACATTGTCTTCTGGGAACCAGGCTGATTGATGATATTCAGCCTGCATAAATGTATACATTTCCACCTCATCACTTTTTCGACCATTACAATTGAACTCTTTCTCAAACTGACAAACTTTTATAATTTTAGAGCTTAAAAAACACTAGTGATCGAACACTATATAATTAATTTAGCCTTTTTCTTTTTGCTTCTTTTTAACAGTTGGTCCAAGCATCAATACACAGTATGTGAAAGTGTCTTTTAGTGCCTTTAAGTTTACTCAGAAACACTAATGGTGGGTGGTGTGGTGGTGCGGTGGTGCAGTGGGTAACACTGCTACCTCACAGCGAGAGGGCTCTGGCTTCGTTTTGGGCCCTTTGGAGTTTGCATGTTCCCCCTCTGTTAGCGCGGGTTTTCTATGACTTCCTCCCACAATCTAAAGACAGAGACTAAATTGCTCATAGGTGTGAATGTGAGCGTGAATGGTTGTCTGTCTCTAACGTTCTGTGATTGTCTGCTGGGATCGTCTCCATACTCCAGTGTGTGCAGCACTTCACTTGGCCAAGTGTCAAGTGTCAGGGCTGTTGGTCAGAAATCACAGAAATGGCTGCGTAAGACTGAACTTCTGTCATTACAATTAATACTGTTTTACTCTATAGCTCTCATAATCCACATATTGCTGCTTGTGATGTGTGGATTGTAGTTCAGATAAAATCTTTCAGTCTGAATTTAGATTTCATACATCATTTACAATAATGACCTGCCCATGAGTCATAATGACAGACAGTTAAATGGATGTTATCAGCGTAATGACCGACAGTTGGAGAGATATTATCAGCTTCTCATAACAATGAGTGAATAGTTTTTACGTTCCTGCTGTCGTGTCATATTTATTGCTGACCATTTGCCTGTTGGCAACAGAGACACAAACAGGAAGTGGGCTACATCTCTGTAATGCTGTCTCCAGCTATCACTAACACTATTTAGTGGGTAGACAGTTCCTCATTGTACCTGTGCACACAGTGTTTGATGGACTTTGACTCAGCCTTTGCAGCAGTTTACATACATTTAAATGTAGTCGCTAGATGCACGCAAACACAAAAAGAAAACAGGTTGTTTTGAAATGGTTGATGCTTAAAACACTGTGGAAGCTTACAACACAGTTCACAAAGGGGTTATTGGGCTATATATTAATCCACATAAACAAACGACATGACTCAGAGCTCAATGTTTCTTGCAAATTTTATTCATATGAACAAATTTAATTTCTTTATAGCAAGCCTCCCCCTCCAAAGCACAATGCACCGTGCCACACCATAAAGACTGTTCAGGAATGGCCTGAGGAACGCCACAAAGAGCTCAAGGCATCAACCCCACCTCTAGATTACCCAGATCCCAATCTAAACGAGCACCCGTGGGATGTGCCGGTAACCCAGAGCCAAGTCCAGTCCTCGATGGGGCCTCCTTGGATCAGACTTGGCTCTGACTTGTCAAGGCATGGACACAGGACCTCTGGGACCACGACGTTGGCGACAGATCCTTTGAGTCCTATGGGTTGCGAGGCGGGGCATCAGCACGTCACACAGATGCTCGATCAGATTGGGATCTGGAAATTTGGAGACCAGGTCAATGCTTTGAGCTCTTTGTCACATTCCCTCTGCCATTTCATAGCAGTTTTTGCGGTGTGGCACGGTGCATTGTCCTGCTGAGGGTACTACTGCCCTCGAAGAGTGCTGTTGCTATGAGGGGATGTACTCAGTCTGTAATGATGTTTGGGAGGGTGGTGGGTGTCAAGTGGCATCCACATGAATTCAAGGACCAAAGGTTTCCCAGCAGAACACTGCATTGTAAGAAACGATCAGTATCATTCACTTCACCTGTCAATGGTTTTAATATAGTGGCTGATTGGTGTTTATATACATCAGTGATTAAGGTATGAGAAATGTTTGGTTGTGATATCACGATTTGGCACCAGTTAAATTTCAAATTAGATAACTAAAATAGACATTACTGTTGATGGCTGACAGGAGCTGCAAAACAATAGCCACCTCCCCTCCTGAAGCATCGATATTTTTCTGAATTGCAGGAAGCCACAGTGTTCTTCTCACCTGTCCCTCCTAGCTGTCTGTCGTACCGGAGGGACCAGAAACGGCATCACAATGCTTTTAATACACAAGCAAGGGATTTATATATTTCAGATCTGCTGCCATGATGAGATGAGATGTGTTGTTCTGCCACATCAAACACTTGTTTTTTTCTGGGTCATCCCTCCATAAAGTTTTAATGGACAGTGTGGCCGAGCGGAGCCAGTTAGAAAAGATGTAGAAGTTACATAAATGAATGACGTGTTTAGTGCACAGCCGGACGGAGTTATAAATAAAATCCACCAAGTTGTCATATGAAAGGTGCTAATCATGCCGAGGAAAACATACAAACGATTACTTTCTCACACCCCAGCTCTGCACCACCTTCAGTGAGTGGAGTGAAATGTGGAGCTCTGTACATCAGAGCAGTCTGACATCTAGTGGACAGACTAAGACAGTACATACAGAGTGTCTGGGTATATTTCTCAATCAGTGCTCAAAATTAAGAGACACACTATTGTGTGTTTTTTATATTTGTTTGTGCAGCCATACTCAATACAAATAAAGTGAAGTGTTCATCAGGCAGGACATTATGGGAAGTGTAGGATCCAGTATTTTGGACACTTTGAGTCCAAAATGCCCCTCTTCAGTCTGTCTCTTGTGAGTCCTCCACCACAACATTGCATCACTGAGGAGTGAAACATTGGTATTTTTTGAAACCTGGATCCTATTTTCCCATGTTTTTGTGTCAAAGTGCCTAATGGGAACAACATTTTTTGGAATTTTGGGACCGTGTTAAGTGAGACTGCTGCAGATGCTAAAAAGGCTGCAATACATCCACACCAGTCGTATGTGCACTGTCATAGTATGTCCCTAAAAGCGCTCATATTTGCCACTGACAGGCTCAGATTGGTATTCTAAGTGTATGACAACATTATGTAAAGGATCCTATAGAGATAGACCTTTTTGTTGAAGAGTAAGATTTGTTTTGTTTAAACAGAAAATGGCCCCAAAAATCTCTATTGCCAAACACACCAGAGTCCATTTAAAAAAGCAGTAATTTTAACAGCGTAAAACACACTTCATTCAGAGTCGACAGAAACAATAAAACTCACAAGAACCATCTTCTTTCATCTTTCCACTGTTCCAACAATCACCAACTCTGGTTTCGTTGAAATAAAAACCATGATTCAAGCAGTTAGATGTGAAAATATGCTGGCTCTGTACACACTGAAATTACTGTTTATTTAAATGGAGTCTGGTGGATTTGCTGACAGCAATTTCGGGGCTGTTTCTGGTTAAACAAAAAGGTCTTTCTCTGTAGGGATCCTTTCCATAATGTTGTCAGACACTTAGAATAATAATCAGAGCATGTCATTTGCAAAAATGAGCACTTGTAGGTACGTACTTTGATGGCGCACATATGCCCTGACTGGTTACATTGCAGTCTGTTTAGCTGCTGTCTCTCAAAGTAACAGACTTATTTCAAAACTTGTTCCCATTAGTCACTTAAATCCAAAATATGGGGAAAATAAGGTCCAGGTTGAAAAAAACAAAACAAAGGCACTGTTGAAATGTAGTGATACAGTACTTACAGCATTGTGATTATAACTTGAGGGTGTTATACGTTCTATAGATTTGTGGTTTTGGGCAATATAAATATAATTTAACTTGCGCATTTTCGTGTGTCTGTGTTCAGACTGTATGATGAACATCCACAAGCGGTGTGTGGCCAACGTCCCAAGCCTGTGCGGGACAGATCACACCGAGAGGAGAGGACGCATCCACATCTCAGCCCAGATCGCTGACGGCACTCTCACCGTCACCAGTGAGTGCACTCTCTGTCTCTTCATTCTCACACACACATACACACACACACTGATCGCCTCTCAAAGCTCTCTATCAGCCCAAGACTAAAACTGGAAAGTCCATTAGTCGATCAATGATCCAACGATTGACCCACATTGCCTCTGGAACATGCATCCACGTGCCAACTCTCTCGCTCTCAGACAGCTGTGGATTGATTATGGAACAGAAACTAAACTGTTGTTAAGTGTTGTCAAATGTAGCCAGAGTTATTTAGGGCAGGACTCACACCAATGCTTACAGGTTCACATGCTGCTGTCCTCTGGAAAGGACAAATTCAACACTAAACTGTCTAAGAGTGTGTTTTTTCTTGGGATGTCTTCCTGTGACACTTTCTGTAACCATGTCCTCAACCCCTCGCAGTCAAAGAGGCGAGGAACCTAGTACCCATGGACCCCAACGGCCTGTCAGACCCCTATGTCAAGCTTAAGCTGATCCCAGATCCCAAGAGTGAGAGCAAGCAGAAGACCAAGACCATCAAATGTTGCCTCAACCCCTCCTGGAATGAGACTTTCACTTTGTGAGTCCTATCATGAGTTTTCGAGGCTTTGACAAACTTATTTCTGGCTTTGTTTCAATGGAAGTGACTCTCTTGGCCCCGTTTTCAGTCACAAAAGCACAAAGCTAACTGGAGCTCCATGCAAGTGACCCTGTCCCCATTCTTTTTTCACCTCTTGCTTGTTATTCAAGCTATTCTGGGTTGCTGTGTGACTGCTAGGAATGGTGCAGGGATGAAAAAGTTGTCACTTGCTGAGGTGTTTACCAGTTTGAATAGGGAGAGATGTGATGAATGTGGCTTTGAAATCAAATTCATTTTTATTTTTTACCTATTTTAAGAACGCCCTTCATCTCACTGTTCTCCCCCTTTTCTCTCTCTCTCATAGCAACCTAAAAGAAACTGACAAGGACCGCCGTCTGTCAGTGGAGATCTGGGACTGGGATTTGACCAGCAGGAACGACTTCATGGGATCCCTGTCCTTTGGGATCTCAGAGCTACAGAAACAAGGGATAGATGGATGGTAAAATGTCAAAATATGGTGGATAATTGGTAAAATTACACAGGTGTAGACAGAGATAACAAAGGCAGAGGGAAAAGGGGTGTGAATATTTTAAGGGCTTTATTGTCATAGTCTGGCGATAATCCTGGATTTTATGATTTTATTCTGGGGTTTAGGTTTAAGATGCTGTCCCAGGAGGAAGGAGAATACTTTAATGTTCCTGTTCAGCCAGATGGAGAGGACGGTAACGAGGAACTGCGACAAAAGTTTGAGGTAAGAAACGGAGACACAAAATGACACCTTGTTTCATTTGTGCTGCTTTTTTGATGTGAGACTTTTTATTCTTTCATTATAATCTCCTGTTATTCCCTCTCTGTCCAGAGGGCGAGGGTGGGGCCGGGGAAACCCACAGATTCATCTTCCTCTTCTTCAGTTTGCAAGTATGACAGCAATGGCAATCAGGACCGGGTCAAACTCTCGGACTTTAACTTCATCATGGTTTTGGGCAAGGGCAGCTTTGGCAAGGTGATTCACATTAGTAGTGTTTTTTAATGGTGAGAAAAGGTAGCCGGGGACTGGTAAACAAAATGAAATCACTGCAAAGCTCATTTATTTCCTTTTTGTTGACTCCTTTTTAGGTGATGCTGGCTGAGAGGAAGGGCACCGATGAGTTGTACGCCATCAAAATCCTGAAGAAGGATGTTGTGATCCAGGACGATGATGTGGAGTGCACCATGGTGGAGAAGAGAGTCCTTGCTCTGGCTGGGAAACCACCTTTCCTCACTCAGCTGCACTCCTGTTTTCAAACCATGGTACGGATACACAACGTTTTACATTAACAAAGACAAGCATCTGCGAAAACATGGCAACACACAACTAATTTATTCTCGTCTTTATCTTTGTTTTCTAGGACCGATTGTATTTTGTCATGGAGTATATAAATGGAGGAGACCTTATGTATCAGATCCAACAGGTCGGCAAGTTCAAGGAGCCTCATGCTGTGTGAGTACACACATGCAACCCTGTATTTCTATACTTGTGAGGACACTCTTGCCCCTTTTACACAGCCTCTTTAAGGCAGGAATTTCACACCTCGCTGTTCTGTATAAAATGTACAGTCGCGGAATGGAGGTACCGGGTGATCTCGCCTTTAAGCCAGCAGCGGAGGTAGAAACAGCACTTAAACGACCTTTGGGTATAAGAGATAGCCGGCAGGATGGGACCATCGACAGAACGTTACATTACATGTGCGACCCACTGCCGGTGGATTTAAAAAGCAGCTGATAGCAGTTAGCAGCTAACTCAAAGAAGAAGAACAGCGGCCGAAAAATGTCCACAATTTGGGAAACAGTGAGGTTAAGGTGCTCTTTACACAGCGAGCAGATGATGCCATGTAAAAGAAAGGGTAAATGATGATGTCATTGCCGTGGTAATGCCACTGTTATTGTTTATAAAGCACTGCCGGCATCTATGTTATATGTCACACTATAGGCTGATGCTGTTGTGTTACATGTTACACCGATCACGCCTCTTTTTCGTACACAATGCCAGAAAGCTTTCTAAAATCACACACTGTGGCACTATGCCGCCATCATTGCAAATGTGGCATAAAGAAGGGACTTCCTAGCAGCCCTACAACGCAATATTTGCGTAAAAAAAGCGATTGACCTAATGCATTTTCTAGCTCCCTTATTTTAACCATCATAACTAAACGCCTAACCCCAACCCTTACCCTTAAGGCTCATTTATGCTCAGTGTTAGATACATATAGAGACACAGACAGTTAGACAGAAAGTCTGTCTGTAATCTACATTTATGGTGTCCGTATTTGTGCATGATCTCTGAAAGCTTACGGATAGAGAGAAACAGAGGAGCACACTGGAAATTGTGGGGTAGTGTAGCATAGTTTAAGTGAGAGACGACCGTAGGACACAATTTAGACATTTAAATAAAATGGAACAGAACAAATTGGTAATACTGTGAAAAGAATTCTTCGCCTACATGTTGCAAATGGCCTCACGGATCACTGACGTCTACAATGCTGCCTCCATTAAAAGGTTCATTATCACGACCTCCTCCACCATAACCATGTTTGTTGTTGTTATTGTCAGAAACTTTTGACTCTGCCCTCTGGTGCCACCTATTGGATGTATGTTTGCCAACATTAAGGACACATGGAGATAATGTGGGCAGTGATGGTTACAGCATTTGAAATGAACCTTTATATTTTCATTCATGAAAGGAATATGAATGAGCCTTTACGCTAACCTAAACCTGATTCTGACCTGAACTTTAAAAACCAAGTCTGAACCCTCAAACAAGCCTTTGAAGCCTCACTCTCAAGGTCTAAAACTGAAATTGGTTCTGTAGATAGATATACAGGTACACACACAGACATACACACTAAAGAGTTTATTAATAGGACATTTGATGTGATGTGATGCTCCTCTTTTTCACTTCTTACTGTTGATTAAATGTTTTTATACAGTAAATATGCTAAGATAAATATAGTATGAACTTGTGCAGCAGTTGCAGTAGGCAGTTCAAGTATAAGTGCAAGTAATGCTAACAGTGAGAGATATACAGAAGAAACAGCTGGAGGTATGAAATGATGAAATGAATGCAGTTTAAATGCTATAGATCAGATATATACAGTACAGACAGGGGGTATGTGGCTGTATATAGTGCAGTAAGTGTATGTGCAGTAATTTATGTATTGAGTAAGTTTGAGGAAGAGGCAGTCCCAGTGTAATAGCGAGTTAATAAGTTACTAGAATATTTTGCATTTAAAGGTCCAGTGTGCAGGACTGAGGGGTGTCTAGTGACAGAAATGGTGTATAATATTCATAACTATGTTTTTATTAGCATATAACCACCTGAAATTAAGAATTGTTGTGTTTTCGTTACCTTAAAATTATCCATTTATGTCTACATACATAGTGGGGCTTCCTCCAGAGAGTCAGCCGTGTTGTTCTACAGTAGCCCAAATCAGACAAACCAAACAGTGGCTCTAGACAGGGCCATTTACGTTTTCGTTCTACAACCTCATTGCTAGATGCCACAAAATCCTACTCACTAGACCTTCACCTAGACTCATATTATCATGTCAGAGCAAAGCAGTTATAAGTTCTTAAAATGCCCATTTGATTTTAATAAAAGAAGTTAAGCTGGTGACTGTGAAAATGCTATTTTTTTTGTATGAATGAAGTTGAAATTGAAATATGTTAACATATCTTCAAACAACCTCAAAATATATGGAAACATTAAAATACTGTGGAATTCTGACATCATAAAAGTGCCAGAAATATGTGCCGATATAATTATAAACTGGTGTGTGTGTGTGTGTGTGTTTTAGGTTCTATGCTGCAGAGATTGCTATAGGACTCTTCTTCCTTCACTCCAAAGGCATCGTGTACCGGTGAGTGCGTTTGTGAATCAGCTGGAGTCTGCATGTACAGCTTACAGTTATTTCAGAATACAGATGTGCATAATATCTGAGTGCGTATGTGTTTATTTTCAGGGATCTGAAGCTGGACAACGTGATGCTGGACGCTGAAGGCCATATAAAAATAGCTGACTTCGGCATGTGCAAAGAGAACATGTACGATGGAATAACCACAAAGACTTTCTGTGGAACACCAGACTACATCGCTCCAGAGGTGTGTTTACGTGCTGTGACGTACTTGATTGGTGCTTTATTAACGTCTGAATAAGACTCACAACTCCACTATTATGTCTTACAGATCATAGCGTATCAGCCTTATGGGAAATCTGTAGACTGGTGGGCCTTTGGAGTTCTGCTCTATGAAATGCTTGCTGGACAGGTTTGTATGCATTCAGCGTAGCCACTGTTTTTATGAACTGAGAACGATTGTGACAAGAGGAGTGATGACATATATTTGTGCCCGTCCAGCCGCCTTTTGACGGAGAGGATGAAGATGAGCTGTTCCAGTCGATCATGGAGCATCACGTCTCTTACCCTAAATCCATGTCCAAAGAAGCTGTTGCTATCTGCAAGGGGGTGAGAGCGCATACTCCAATGCACATAAACAAAGAGACTCAGTCCTAATGTGGCCCCTTCAACCTCTCCACGTCCACTATGAACACTGTAGAGCGTGCCAAGTTAAGGGCTCTCAGTCTAGAGTGAAAGTGTGTCAGAATAATTTCAACAGAGAGGCTACATCACAGCTAACTGTCTGTTAAATTACATAAACCTGTAGCTATGCTGTCTTTCCTCTGCCTTTTCATGGTGGGTTTAAGATCCTAAAACGTGCAGTAAAGTTAAATTTAAAAATCTGTCATTTAAAGAATGCATGTAACTTTGTCAGCTTAACATAGACAGGTAAGGTGGGAGAGAGGGGGGATGACACACAGCAAAGGGCCACAGGTCAGAATCAAACCCAAACCATTTTTAAGGCCTCAGCCTATATGGGGCGCACGCAGTACCAGGTGAGCTGGAGGTCGCCTCATTTATTTTCTTATTTTGGATATGTTTGTACTGTTTAACTGCAGTAATTGCTGCAGCAGAAACAGCGATAGCATCTTTTTTATTCCATGCATTCCTCTTCCTTGTCTAAACCTAGGATCTACATTACCCAGAATGCAACTGGACCCCCGACAGTTCAGTCGGAGAATCTGGTGTTATGCTAATAGTGGCTAATGTAGCCTTGAGCTGACTCCATACCATTTTTCAAAACGTGTTTATCCATAACTCAAGATTTCATATGCTAATGACAACAAATATCTGATGGGACAATTTATATCCCAAAGGTCATCTTGACTGTGACATCACAATATTCTGCAAAGGCATTTTTTCTGGCCATTATTCTACACCATAACTCTTACAGGAAATTATTCACTGGAATCATACATGCCGATATAGTGATGACTTTCATTTTGCCAAAAATACACTTAATATCTTCCATTAAATTCCTTCACAGTGCTGACTACATATATTATGAGTCTGGACAGACATGTATTTAAACTACAACAGCAGCTTGACTGGTTGTACTGCGAGGTGGTAATGCTAGTTTTCACTTTCAAACTCTTCAAACCTAACTTATACTGACTCAAGTGACATCGCTAGAGGCAATTTATCAGACCTAACACAGCTCCCTGTGGAGCCACAAAAAGCTTTTATACAGTTTTTCCCACATTATCAGTGGTTCTCCCCAACGTCTGTAAACAGACTTTGATGCGTTTAGAGATATTGGGCTGTTAGGTTGTGGTGAGATGGCTGCAGTTGCTGTAGCTTTGTATACATTTACTGAAAACTGCAATGTAAGTCAATTTGAGTAGAGATTCACCTGCTTGTTTATTTATCCCTTCGCCTTAATGCGGCTTCATGCAGTGAAGGCGAGTGTGTGGGGATTGATCACAGTTTCCACACATGCACACACACACATATTCAGACGCTTCTCACCTTGTATGTCTGTATGTGATTTTAGTTGATGACCAAGCACCCAGGTAAGCGTCTCGGCTGCGGTCCAGAGGGAGAGAGGGACATCAAGGAGCACGCTTTCTTCCGCTATATAGACTGGGAAAAACTGGAGAATAAAGAAGTCCAGCCGCCTTTCAAACCTAAAGCTGTGAGTATATTACACACACACTCTCTTCAGCTGTTGAATAATATGTGATCTTTACTGATTACCCTATAATAGTCACAGTATGGAGGGAGATGACAAACGTAGTCAAGGTAAGTTATAGATAAGATCGATCATCCCCCGAACCCAACCATCACCTGCCATTGGTCACTACTCTGACAAATGCTGAGCTGAAATTTGTGAGTGTAGTCACCAATGATGAAGCTGAGATGTCACCGGCTCACATCCGGACCAATGGAAATCCACAGTTTCGGCTGTGAGTGATTTGATTGGTTGATGCCATGTTTTAGTTGTATTTCTCTTTTTTCTCTTTGTTGTTGTCGTTTTTTTCCTCTCATTCCTCATCAAACTCACTCCATCCCCCCCATCTCTCTCTCTCCACCTCTCTCCTCTCCTCTCCACGGCAGTGTGGGCGTGATGCGGAGAACTTTGATCGCTTTTTCACACGCCACCCCCCTACGCTGACCCCCCCAGATCAGGAGCTTATAGCCAACCTGGACCAGGAAGAATTCCAAGGCTTCTCATTTGTTAACCCTGAGTACCCTCACACAACTCACTGACCATGCCACACATCACTGGGCTGCACTAGTAATCCCCCACACCTCGGACACATACATTACAAACAGACACACAATCAAAAAGATCACCATGATGTCATATCCAGACTGCATTCGGCAGAGTGAAACGTTAAAGGAATAGTTCAGCATTTTGGGAAATATGCTTTTTCCTGAAACTTCGATGAGAAGATGGGTGCATAAAATTCAGAGCTGGACCCAGGAGGCAGTTAGCCTAGCTTAGCATTAAGACTGGAAGCAGGAGGAAACAGCTAGCATGACTCTCTCCAGAGTTAAAAAAAACAAAACAAAAAAGGAATGTAAACATTTGTGATTTCAAGGAAAGTTAAATGCAGTAACTAAAGACTCAGAGCTCTCACAGTCAGCCATCAGTAAGGATGCTAACAGGTTAGCTCACAAGCGGTAGTTTATCTTGGTTACTCCCAGCGGTCACATGACCCTCACCTTGCAGGTTGTTGCGGTTGCTCAAGAGTTTTCCCCAATGAAAACCACACCTTCTTTTCATTTTTCGTTGTTTATGGATTAAACAAATGAGATAAAGCGTCTTAAGTAATAGACTTTAGTTCTGGTTAAGGATGTCAAGTGTTAATTGTTTATCAGTTAGGTACTGAGAATATTTCTGACAGGTTACACATGTAGGTTTACAGGTGAATTTTTCTACTCTTCAGTTTACTTAACTGCACCCAACCTGGGTCTGGTGGGAGCTAACGTTAGTTAGCAGGGCCGATCATTCAGTGATTACCACCTGTGATGCCAGTCTGGCCCAACAGCATTGCTGTGGAAACATTTTGCCCACCCTCCAATCTCCCCCCAACTCTCCCTGGTGAGTAAGTGGCCCAATGTTGAGCTGCAAACCCCGTTTAGCATTGTTTTACTGTTAGCTCTGTTAGCACTGTTAGCAGTGACAGCACGGCTAGTGGTGCTAACATAGTTAACAATGCTAAGGCAGCTTTGACTTTGACTGAGTCAGTGAAGCGCCAGACTAAAAGGGAAGGTGTGTTGTATTTCACATCATTTTCATCATTTTCTTAAAAATTAACTGGGTAGTTACGGGTTAATGGGTGTCGGGCTACTGAAAGCAAAACTTGCAACCCTAGTTGTGGTAGTAGTATTCTAAAGGAGAGCCAGGCGATCTGTTTCTCCCTCTTGCTTCCAGTCTTAATGCCAAGATAAGCTAATCACCTCCTGGCTCAGCTCTGTAACTGATGCTCAGACATAAGATGTTATCAGTCCTCTCATTTATCTCTCTGAAGAGAGATCAATTAAGTGCATTTCCCTAAAAGCTATTTCTCTAAATAACGTTCAGATGGAAATGCAGACAGGTGCTCAACGATCAGGAGAATTATTCAGATATTCACGTGTCAAGTTGCCAGTAGGAGACCAGACTTTGTTTCCAGCGGTGACACCGTTTTCAGTTTACTGTGGTTTAACACGTCATGTGACACTTGCTGATCTCATATCAGCTCTACTGGCTGTATTTCTATCTTTAGTGCAGAGATGTTGCTCGCTCCCTGAATGCCGCCCGGCTGCTCCCACCGGCAGGTTCACATTGGGGGTCCGACCTGAGGGCCGACCTGAACCTGCACTGTCTCTGTGTCACCCTCCCTGTGATTGCATATTGACTATGATGACCTATCAGTAATATTGATGTGTACTATGATCACATATTGGTAATATTCATACAGTGTACGTGAAAACTGACCAATTGCTTTGCTATGATTGTTTAATCAGTTTCCTAATGTTGACTTTATTTTGTCTATAGGACCAAATACTTCTACACTTTCTGTTCAGTCAGTGTTGTGGTGAGCTTAAACTTTTTGCTGATTTGATTTTTAAGGATAGAAGTCTTTATACATGCAGTCAGCAAGAGTGTAAGTCTGCGTCAAGTTAGTGATTTTTGACTGAAGTCTCATTACTTTTCTCCTTATTCCTTACTGGAAACATTCACCACATTACACTGTGTTTTTAATGACATATCTCTTAGCTCGTAAACCACCATATTGTGGGGAGAAATCACATATGACGAGTCTTGTGAAGCTGGTAGTTTGTTAGGATGTCCAAAAGTGCCAAAATAGGGTTCAGAATCACGAGGATGTGGAGAAAATATTGTCCTCAACAACTGTGATGAAGGGCAGCCATCTTGTGCCATTTTTGCAGTACATGTATAATTATTAGAATATGCATCCTAGCTTATCTGTTCTCCAACAATAAGATTCCCTTGGAAAGTCATTTTCATATATAAAATGAATGAAGACGTGAGTTTCATTGTGAGGCAGATTGTATTATCTTTTTGTAACTGTGTAACGATGCACGGTTCTAACAATGTGTCAAATCTTGTTCTTTGAGCTCGTATCAAAAAAAAGGAGGCGGCATCACGTTGACGTCACTGATGCACAAAGACGCTCGCTGATAAAGATGATTGTTTCTGCCAGGTGGAAAAAGTGAGCACTTATTGTGACGACAGTAACTGTGACGAATCAATGGGGACATACTGAGAGAGATATGAGAAGGATAAAAAATATATATATATGGAGTTCTATATCAGAGAGATATCTGGATAAACTGTTCTGGATGAGAGAGATGCTTCTGTGGATTGTGTAATTGTCCTGTATGACTGGAAACTGATAATATACTCACTGGTGCCTACCAGACTACTCCTGCTGTGTCTGCCTTGTTACTGTTGCTACACCCAAAATGGTACACTTATATAGAAACTAGTTCTTTGTAGATGTGCTGTACGTATATTTGGTTTCTTGCTTCTAGCTTCAGCCAGGAGCACACTAGCTCAGCTTAGCATAAAACATGGAAACTGCAGGCCCCCAGGAAAGCCGCTCAGCCTTGCATCAATTTTTTTTTTGCAGGGGCCACTCGCTGAAAAAAACCCTTGCGACCCAAAAAGCGTTTTCCCCATTGTAAAAGAGACGTCTGTAAAACTGTTGACAGGACACCTCAAACTGCAGGTCGATTATGACTCTTTCTATTCTGAATTTTGGAGCCAGGGTTGTTTTATATTTGTAAAACTTTCTCAAAGCAGAGAAAAACAATTAAAAAATCTGTGACATCATCACAATGCTAAGTCTATGAGCCGAGTGGGAACTCATGGGCGGGGCCACCGGGAGAAACACCACTGTGCATATTCAGTGGGCTGCATATGGTGTAAGTAAACCCTGAAGCTAGAAAACTTTTTTGGTGTATGTGCCAGGCAGGCAACTCAATTGAAATATATCAGAGCCATCATGGCGTTCAGTAAATATCAGTATCTAGTCATTAATAAAGTCTATGTGAAATGAGCTAACAAGCAACACAACACATCATTTTCCAATACAGTTGACTTCCAAAAACATTTTGTCATCAGTTACCTTGCTGTTAAAAGGGGGCACCATCTTGTAAGGAAAGCGCTCTGTGCCTGCTATTGTGGATCACTGCTTATCTTTTGTATTCTGTTTGACTAAATCAATCAAATCTAATGAAGAAGAGAATAGAAAAAGAAAATGGATTCTGCTGGGAGAAATTGAATCTCAGTTCCAAGCAAAGTTATTTACACAAACTAATCAACATAAACAACATATACATCAGAGTTACACAATCACTACTTTGTGAGCACAGAAAAAAACTACAGCCCCTATCAGAATTTAGCAGTGTGAGTACTGACATTATCATAACTTGGTTTCATAGGCATTGATAAAAGTCACCAAAGCTCTCGTCTAAAATCTTTTTTTTTTTTTTTAGCTGTAATCTCTCTTTTTAGTGTTCACTCCTCTCTATCCGACTGTTACTACAGACACTCGCCTCTTATGTCAAGCAATGACGTTTAACGGACTTAGGTGTAGTGCTTAAGGGAAATGGTGTTTGTTAAAGGCAGTTAAAAAACAGAATTACTAAATACATAATGAAATTAGATTGCTTAAAAAATCTAATTTACACATATGAAGTGTGCCACACAATGCACTGTTAATAAAGCCTCTGTTCCAAGGCTGTATTTGTAGTTATTAGCAAGTTAATAAAATTTTGAATAAGGTTGTTTGGAACCCAAAAGTTCTGATTGCTCTTCAGTGCTCTATAGAGTCTTTGATATTTTGTCATGGTTTGGGAGCGTCAAATTTTTTAACGTAATACACCAACAACAATCTGATTATGTGTACAGCCCCCAAAATTAATTCCTCAATGTGGAGTTTCTCTTTTATGAATGACTAGTAACACATTATAACATAGCTGTAATCATATTTAATTATACTATATTGCACACATGAACAAATACTTACAGCCTATTAAGTGTTTATAAATGTATACAAGCTTTTAGGTTTAAATCTGATCATAATCTGATAGCTTGAAGGTTTCCTGACTTCAGAAAACGTAAATAGAAATAGACTGACAAAGAATTCAAGGTTCCTGACTAAATTTCATGTGAAGGTTTCAGCTGTATCTCACGGCCTTCATCAATAGATGCTGTTTTCTCGGTTGTCATGGAGTGATAAGTATTTCTAAATAAGTAAATACTTAATACATGTTAAAAAACAAATGCTTCTTTTTTTATTTTTGCGTCGAACACGAGTCTATATTTTTATTTTTGAGACAATACTGCTTTTAAAAGCTATATGGGGGTTATTATAGAATCTCATCCACAAAACAAAAACACTGCAGAGGTAAAATATGCAGCGTCACACTTGCCTCATACATTTATATGAGCTGATTTAGTGGTGAGTTCGTGGACCTGTGGGAGAGGTGGGAAAGTTTCCAGCCTCTCCTCATTTCAGCTGGAAGCCCTGTGATGATACAAAAGGCGGAGGTAGGATACTAAATGCTTTGTGTGTGTGTGTGGTACATGTGTCTTGCCTGGGGCTCACTGCTTCACTTCCCTTGTGTTAAATCCTCTCCGGTTGTGGTTTGGTCTGCAGCCGATCTGTTTTATCGATCCTTGTCTGTTCTGTACTGGAACGTTTTCCTCTCTCTGGCTTTGGAAGTTTGTCTTAGATCTTTCTGCATCTGTGCTGTTGAAATGTTTCGGTGGGTCTTCATCTTTTGACTGTGTTTCTGGGTTCTGTCGGCAGGGTGTGTTTGTTTTTTGTCGACTTGCTCCCCCCAGTCCTATATAGAATCAGTGGTGTGTTTTGCAGAGTGTAGACTCCTTGTGGTGCCACCGTTTACAGACGATCAGAGGTGTGGACTAAACTGTACTTTAAGACGTGCAATTGGACTCACAATTTAACAGCAATGACTCATGAATTCACTCAGACTTAAAAGACGGGGTCACAATATTTCAAGTCTGTCTTAAAATAATAATTTATGTAACTGTAGAAATTTGCAGGGCTGTAACCAAAACTGGCATTTTAGAAATGCTGAGGTCAGGAGACCAGATTCCTCTCATGCAACCTACTCAACATAAAAAAATCTGCTCTTAATCACAGCTATTAATCACACTACTGTTTCATACCTTGTAATTTTAGTCTCTAAGTGCTCTTGTAGTTTCTATTTGTTTATTTTGCTCTTATTTTATTTTTATATACCTCTTAACATTTCTTTCTTTTACTCTATTTATCTGTACCTGTTGCTGTCCCTGTGCAGTTGTATCAACTGATTCTTCCCTGCTGTGGGATTAATAAAGGTTTATCTTAATATCATAATCAGCCTTGACTGCACCAATTTGTGTATAACTGTAGAAATTAAAGTCTCCTCAGGCTGTACAACACACATTAAAGGAGAGCTTTACAATTTTTAAAGGCTGTCTTAACGGTCCTGTGTGTAGGATTTAGTGGCATCTAGTGGTGAGGTTGCAGAACTGAAATTTCTCCTGTGTGCCAAGCATGTAAGAGAACTACAGTGACTGTTGCAAAAACGCAAGTGGACTTATCTAGAGCCAGTGTTTGGTTTGTCTATTCTGAGCTACTGTACAACATGGCGGACTCAGTGAAAGAGGACTCGCTCTGTATGTAGATTCAAACCGCTCATTCTGAGGCAACAAAAAGACAGTTATTCTTATTTTCAGGTGATTATAAACTACTGAAAACATAGTTGAAAATAACACATACCATTTCTGCCAATAGATGCCCCTAAATTTTAAACACTGGACCTTTAAACCAGTAGATAGGTGCCCAAATGGACACTGGAACTTTCTGTAATTTCTCCGTCTGTTTATACTAGCCACTGAGAGATCCCTTCATAATGCTCTTTCACTAGACGTGATGGGGGACAAAATCCACAGTCCTCATTTGGTGCAAAAATGTGGTCAAAAGTTTGTTTGCTAAAAGCTAATATGAGGCTTCAGCAGAGGTTAAACAAAAGTGATTATCCCTCAAAGTCGCAGTCTTGTTACTGTTTTACATTTTCAGTTTTATGCACAATAAATAAATTTAAATTAATTTTTATAAGGTATAATATTTTTGGTAATGGATGGGTTGCATGGGAGTAATTTGGTCCCCTGATCTCAGTATTCCTAAACTCCTGTGTACGGCCCTGCATGCAAGAGTCAAAAATAAGAAAAACACCTGATCATTTAAAGCTTTAAAGTTTTGGAAAGCCTTTATGAAAGTAATAAATGCACATTTTAAAAGGCATATAAATTTATTTTTGTAAATGTAATACGCTGACTTCATAGATTTAAAATGGCATTACATCTGGTGAAGGGCATATAATGAATCGTTAAGGACTCTAAACACAACATTTAGGAACTGACCTGACTTGAGACTTACTTGTGACTTGTAAAACGATGACTTTGTCCCACCTCTGCAGATTATTAAAACGTGTCTCTCCATGTGCTGACACAATTAAACTTCCCTTGCCTCCTTCTCTACCCTCCATCTTTGTGCTTCTATGGGAGAGCTGTTCTTTTTGCTTGTTGTCAACCTTTTTTTTTTAAACGCTGTTCAAATTCACTTAAACTTTATTTCTGTAACACATTCTCTCTCTCCTTCTTTTCTCCCTCTGTGTGGCAGAAATCACGCCGTGACGTCGGCAACTTCGACAAGGAGTTCACCAAGATGGTGGTGGAGCTGACGCCCACAGACAAGCTCTTCATTATGAATCTGGACCAGAACGAGTTTCAAGGCTTCTCCTACACCAACCCCGAATTCATCATACAAGTGTGAGGAGGTCCTGTTGGTTTAGACGCAGCCCGAACAAAACTTTACTCGAACCAGTACAGCCCCAGTTACATCCACGAGGACTCATCCAGCATCTCATCGCACCACCACTGAAGCTAAAGCCACAGTGTCTCATCTACACACACCTCCGACCCACACCAGCATCTAAACTGGGCAACAATCAGAAACCACCTCGCTGGCTTTAGCTGCTGGTTGGTCACAGTGAGACTGAGTTTGACCAGTAACCACACGGTAACAGGCCAGTTTCCAGAAAACACCAGGCATGTGTAGTGTTCACACGACCTCGTGGTGTGCAGGTCAATACAAAGAGTCATAGTGAATGTGTAACTGTGTGTATGTGCTCTTATCGATCAACAGCAGTGTGTGTTTGTTTACTTGATTTTTTCTCCTCTTCGGCCTGTAAAAGTTGCGTCATGAACATTCCATGATCAATACTTCATGTATGTGCTCTCACACACACAAACACACACACACACACAATCTTAGGTCACTTTAGGGGAAGTCACAGACTGATCCTAACGCCTCGTTTCTACTTGCATATGTGCACAGAGATGAGGCAACCGAAAGTCTATTCATTCCTTTGGGAATCTCTGCGATGTCCGCTTTAGCTGAGAAACTCCTCCCCTTCATAATATTTCGGTCTGGACCTTGCCTTGAGTACATTAAAAAACTGAAATTCTGCGGTGGATTTCGGAGAGACTGCATGACAGTGTGCTAGCTTAGCTAACAGGCTGTTTTCTTAAATTCAGTTGCTTGTCGATTGTTAAGTGAGTTTGTTAAAAAAATAACTTGTTTATCTCATTTTAACACATTGTGAATCTGAGGGAAGTTATTCTGTTAAAATATGGTTATACATTATATACAGTCAGATTGTCTTTATGACTCGTTCAGCTGTTCATACTTTTTGTAAATGAACATTTCATGAAACATACCAAGCCCCTGGCAGGTCCTGTTTTTGTCCTGTAATGTTCCAAGTGCATAATCCAAACTACTGGATGGCGAAAAACGGACAAAATGAGGTTTCTATCTATCCGTAAAGAAATGCACTGCCTTTTATTGGACACTAGAGGCATCATCCGTATATTCACAGATCTACGGACATCAGTCACATACATAAGCGGAAACGAGGCGTAACCCTAAATTTGCTTCCCTAATCTTAACCCATACCCCAATTTCTGAACCAATCAGCTATTGGTCTGATGACAACAATCCTCTGGGGGCATTAGCCAGTATTTCAGGAGATCTGGTATAGCAATTGGATATGCGGGCCAAGACTTCCCCTTTCATGTGCTGGTCATTTTTATCTCTATAAGCAGATATCAGCATATAAAAAAGAAAATTCCACTGTTTGGCCACTACGAAAATTGGCTTTAAAGCCTGGCCCACTGCCTGAGGGCCTGTTTCCGCCTCTGTGCATTGATTGTTTACCTGCTGCTCAAGCAAGATTGGCCAGAAATGACTAGAAATGAAAACCTGAACACTTCGGATACTAAAATCTTTTCCTGTTGCCCACAGATTCTGCATACATATGCAGATATCTGTTCATAGAGATTACCCTAACACTAACCTGACCCAAAAAACAGCTTTTTCCAGATTGAGACATGGCTTTGGTCCCCAGTTGGACAAGCTGTCCGCAGTGAATTGGGATCCCATACTAAAAATGTACGTACGGACAAACGCTAAATCGGCGTCTGCCAAAAAATGGTTGACATTTTCAACAGTCAGGCCACCACCTCACCTGTCTGCGTTGCCAGTTTCTCGTCTCCAAAATGTTCCGAAGCATGGGTCAAAGTTTCTCCCATCAAGTCTGTTTTTATAGATCACAACTTTTGTATTGGACGCGGCAAACGCCTCTTTCAGGCCTCCTTTTGTGTGTACGCAATGTTTATAGTCTGGTGTGTTTCCCCGAAGGTAACCTAAATCACACACACACACACACACACGCACACACATGTCTGTGCAGGCTGCGGTTTGGAGAGAAGGAAGGATTTTAAAGGTTCTGATTTTAACCTCATGTCTAAGTTAGTCCTGAACTTAGTCTTAAGCACGTATCGTCTTCCGAATTGATGCAAAAAAAAAAAAAAAAGAAGAAAAAAAAAGAAAAGAGAAATCCCCCCAAATGCCTGTCTGGCAGTGATATTTAAAAAATGTCTCTGTCTTTTTCTCTTGCTTAATCTCTCTCTTTCTCTTCTCTCTATGGCACTGTGTACGCAGTGGGTTAGTGCTGTGTAGGCCTATACAGTCTTTGTGGTGCAGCTCCTCTATGCATGCCATATCTGTTGGTACAGTAGCTCCCTTAAGATTTGCGTTTGACATCGGGGAGGATGAAAAAAACCTCCGGTGTTGTGAATTTATTGATGCAAGTCAGTTTTGAAATATCCATGCTCAAATTTTAGTTTCCACTCCGAATGCTGTGTATGCCTTCTCTAATAATGTCGACATATGCTACAGAGAAATATGAGATTTTGTGAACTGAACATATAAAGTAGATGTAATAATTCTGTATGACTTGTATTTCGGTGTATGTGTAAATAGGAATGGGATCTAGAGCTAGAAGTGGTTTTCATGTTGTAATACACTTCTATACTATTCTTCACAGCCCCGTCTCCCTTTCTCTCTGCTCTCTGTCCCTGCCAGCACTCAGCTGTCACTTTTTACTTTGATTTCCCATTTTTATATCTCCCCTTTCTCCTCCTCTTCCTCACCTGTTCCCCAAACTCACATTCACATCGGTGCGATCTGGAGAGGAAAAGGAACTGGGAGACAAGTTAAGTGAGACAAGAGGGAGAGGGGGAAAGAGGGGAGAATAAAGTGTTTACTATGCAAAAGGCAGGAGAAGAAGGAGAAGAGGAGGATGAGGAGAAAAGGGCAACTTTTATAAAGCAACTTGAAGAAATTGTGTAACAGGAACAGTATACATATGTTGCATGCGCCGTCTTTACCTGCGCGTGAGAGACACTTACAGTATGATACCTACATTAAAGTGAATTATCATATACCATTTCAGTAACACTGGCTCTTGTGTTTTACTCGGGTGGACCTCGGAGTGACCTTGGAGCAGGAGCTTCAACCTTGCATGCTTACAAACAGAAAACAAAAACTACACATAAGCAGTTTGCATTAAATCTAATGTATTAAACATAATAATAGTCTGTTTTATAGTGCTAAAAGATGACACTCTGGTGACATTTTGGTTTGGCCTTGGGTTGGGCCTACAGAGCCCAGACTGCGCCCTTGTAAGATATCAGGCTAAAACAAACATAATCCCTGTCAGATCATCAAGGAGATCGGCAGACTGCTTCTAAAAATAACTTTCAAGGCTAAAAGTGACTTGTGTTACAAAGATAAATGATAGCTCTTCAGATTTGGCTCTGCTCACAGAGAGGAGAAAGCTACTCATAAGTGTAGCTGCAATTTTCATTTATACAGGAAAGGAATTTAGGGTAGTACTGTGTGTTACAGTACAAATTGGTTTTCAGCAGGTTCCTGTCATGCAACAGAAACACATTACAAACAGAAACAATCAGCAGAGGCAAAACAACAAAACATACGCAGCTCCAGAGACAATGCAGAGTAGAGGTCGCAGAATGGGATATGAGATTTAAATGAGGTGTTGCAGGTATGTCCTTCCATCAGATAGTGTTTATGTGTGTGGGTGAAATGTGTAATAGAGGTTATTGCTCTGATGTAGTGTGGGATCTCATTCCAGATTTTACTGTGAATGATAGTGATAATTTTCATAATTGTTGTACATAATAGGGTTTTGATTATTTGTTTCTTCTGCAAAATGTCAGAATATGGTGAAAACATGTATAAGATAGTGGAAAGTAGCAAATCCACACTTTTGACAAGCAGAGTCTGTTGACAAATTTGCTTCATAATTGACATCAACAATTTTCCAGGATTAAGGCTTGATGTTCTAAGGGTGGCTCGGTGGTGCAGTGGTTAGCACTGCTGCCTCACAGTAAGAGGGTTCCTGATTTGAACCCAGGGTTGGGGAGCCCTTCTGTGTGGAGTTTGCATGTTCTCCCCATGTCAGTGTGGGTTTTCTCTGGGTACTCCAGCTTCCTCCCACAGTCCAAAGACATGCAGGTTAATTGGTCTATATGGTTCTATATCGCTCATAGGTGTGAATGGTTGTCTGTCTCTATGTGTCAGCCCTGTGATATTCTGGTGACCTGTCCAGGGTGAACCCTGCCTCTCGCCCAGTGTCAGCTGGGATAGGCTCCAGCCCCCCTGGTGACCCCCAACAGGATAAGCAGTTACGGAAAATGAATGAATGAATGAAAGGTTTAAATACAAATGAATGTCAAAAAAAAAAATAGTCAAAGCGATCGCACCCTTTGTGCCCTCACAGCTCTGCTTAAATATCAGAAACAGCTGATAAACAGGACGTCATATTTAATAGTAGGTACTGGTTTTAAACATTAAATATTTTCAGTTACTCTTAAAACTGACACCAGATGTTAGGTGGAAACTTAATAGTATAATTTAGGGTATTGGATACAGCCTGAGCGGAAGAGTGTAGAGGCTTCTCAGGGCTGCATTTTTGGGTAAAAATATAATGACACTGTTTTCATTTACAGATATTTCTCCTACAAAGACACAAGTTGATAATCAATAAAGATAGACTTAACCATAGAAATAATAATAATATAATCAATGTCCTCATACGAGACAATAATAAAGTACTTCCTAATTAACAGCATCTGAGCTTGTTAGTGTTGATAAAGTTGGTCAAATTTGTTGCCATATCAAATATTATTAATTAAATAAACAAGTTTCAACTTTTAAATGTGATCAGGTTTTGTCCACTTTTGTGTCTAGATCGGCTGCCGACTGACTTAGCAAAAATGGCTGCCGTCTTTTTCTGACATGGATTACTATATTGTGCTCTTACTACCACTAGATGGCACAAATAAGTGTCCACGAACAAAGACGACAGGTCTAAGTTAAGCAGAATGAAGCATGCAGTCAAGTAAACCCAAAATATGATGTCCTCATATGAGGACACATGGTCTCAGGAGGATAATAATAAGTGAATTTAAAGGCTCATTGTTGATGCTGGAAATGGTAGCTTTAATTTTTGTCAAATATTTCTTACATGATATTATTATTATCATTATTATCAGAAAGCATCAGGTCCCTATCAAAGAAACTGTAAGTATGTTAGTTGTTGGGTAAATGTGTTTTATTTTATTTTATTTTATTTTACTTTATTTTTTTGGTATACTGACAATTTTATGAAAAGAATGCTTACTATTCTAATTATACTTTATTATTTAATAAGCTTATATAAATGAAGAAACTAACATGTCCTGACCACTGTGCTGCTGTCCATGGTGCTGAACTGATTCAGGCTACAGGTTGACCTGTTGACCTTAACAGGCACACACACACACACACACACACACACACACACACACACACACTGGGGGCGGGATCATCCAGCAGTTGGTGCCACACACAGTTGAGTTACAACAATCTCGGTGGTGTCCAGATGAGCTGCTGCAGCTGTTTCCTCCCATCAACTTTTTGTTTTATCGAGGATCTTGGTCTTCTTCTACTGTTTTCCTCTCTGATTGTGTGTTTGTACTGCTGATAAAACATGGACACATCCCAGCTCAGTGATCCAGGTCTTGTGCGGGTAGTTTAGATGTAAAAAGTCCCGTCCTTGAACCTGCACAGTCTGAGTGTAGCGCAGGTTGTAGAAGATGTGCACAGAGTTCCAGTTTCCTGCAGCCGTCTGGATCCACACGCACATCAGACACCGGGGGAAAGTTTATAACAGTTTCTAAAACCCGCTGGTCTCCGTCCGCTGGAGGACTCCTCGGTGAGGAGGAGGAGGAGGAAGAGGAGGAGGCTGGGCCGACATGAGGCTGTGTAACCGGGGAGTGATGATGCTGCTGACCACAGCGGGGGCTTTCTGCGCCTTCAGTCTCATGACCATCGCCGTGGGCACCGACTACTGGCTGTACTCCCGCGGGATGTGCCGCTCCAAGAGCCAGAACGACAACGAGACCGTCCGCAAGAACGAGGAGGTGCTGACCCACTCGGGTCTGTGGAGGACCTGCTGCACCGAGGGTAGGACACACGCTCCTCTACAAGTTTTACCAATATATACTGGTTTCTACAACTACAAGGAACCAAAACTCACTGCAAAACTTTCAAATATTTAAATATTATTGTCAGATATCAGCCAATACATTAGATACAAATATATAGAAATTGAATTTTGAATAGAATTTCAATGGAATTTAATTTGAATTTTTGAATTTCTGCTAATGCACATAAGAACATCATGTATGAATCTACAAATTCATGTAAATAAAGTCACAGCCTCTCACAGAAAATGGCAGATACTTAAATAGTACAGTGCAAAACATTACAATAAAGTAATTTAACTTTAACATTTCTGCAGTTGGAAAAAGGTGTAGGCTGAAGGTGCAATTTGTAACACCTACCCTTTTAACAGCACATCATATTTAGCAAAACAAAACAAAACAAAACAAAACAAGCCAACAAGGCAAACAACAACAATAAGAAAACCAACTTACAAAAGGCAGCGTACACACTTTAAGTCCTTGTACCCTGTTCTTGTATGTCAGTTTTGAAGTCTGATCATCCATTTTCATATTTAATCAATCCGTTATTTTTAAACCTTTGTTTAAACCTACTTAATGTTCTGCGTGTTTTCAGTTCGTCACTACAACTGTTCCATACACTCACTCCTTTAACTGAGACACAGTGTAGTTTGGCATTAGTCCTCACCAACAGTTTTCTGAACATATAAACACCTCTCACAGCATGTTGACTTTCTCTCTGTCAAACACATTTTGGATACCTTCAGGTAATAATTGTTTTTTTTGTTCTGTACATAATTCAAGCTGTTTTACAGTTGACCAAATCTTCAAATTTAAGAGTCTTTAGTTTGATCAATAATGAGTTTGTTGGTTCTTTGTATGAGGTTTTGTATTTCTCAGTATACAACAGTATACGGTGTATAATGAGGCTTGATTTAGAAGATCTTCATATAATATTGCAGCTGACTCTAAAATTTTGGCTTTGATGTGTGGCTTCCAGCGTAGTTTATTGTCTATCACAACCCCTAGAAAATTTAATTTCCAATACTCTTTCAATGTCACTTTATTTATCACAAGTTTGCTAATTATCAAAGTGTAGATCACACACACTAAGTCCCTATGGGTGACATGCCTATTACTTCCACATGAGAGCGAATGTACACCATGTCTCTATACTGGGTGATAAATAAAGTAAAGTCATGTAGTAGTACCCTAAGCTATAATGGTATTATAACAGCTTATAAGTGTTTTTATTCTGGGAGAATATTCACTGTATTTTTACCATCACAGCATCACAAAGTTTAGGATTTTGCAGTATTGACTATAGAATAAATATTTAAAAATGGTGAACATAATTTATAGCACCCAGTGTTGTTTTAGTAAAAGTAGCGTATTTAATTGAGTACAAGTCCTGCATTAAAAATGTTACATCATTACATGTCTGCAAACATTATTGGCAGAATGTACTTAAAGAATCAAAAGTAAAGAAACAAAATGACTCAGGGAGTGTTATTTTAAGTCATTGTAGTTTACAAGTCCACAGTGATTAGAACACATACAGACATTTGTTCCATTGTTTCCAAAAACAAGAGGAACACATTGTGTCAGTTTATTAAGGCCACATACATTTAATCAATTAATCAGCACATGAATTTGTACAAAACATTCCTCAATACAGTATGACAGGAGCTTTAACATCAACTCACTCCTCTCCATCTTGGGGACGTGAGCAAGATTATGAACACATCATTAAATGTTACCTAAAGCTTTTTCATTTTTGCCTTACTGTAACTGCACCACATGTAGGCTGTACACAGAGGAGGACAGAAGGCTTCAGAAAGGGCTGTTTGAACATCTGCACACATGTGAAATTTATGTTCCAGCATATTGGCTTGTGTTGTTTATACAGTTTGCAACACTGGCGCTG